TCTGATACACATTTGCAAACCTACCAATAAAATCTTTACAGAAAACAAGATGTCAGAAAATCAATATAAGCACTGCTATGAACTGGGTGCCAAACTTTGATCAAGATCTGAAGCTAATAGAAAATCTGTTTAGTCAAAAGTTATCAAATCAAAAACAATACATAAAAAATACATTAAAAGCAAAACATTTCATCCACATTTTAAAAAGAAAATTATTCTAAAATATATGTATTCTGTATTTGACAAACAGTTCATTCGACAAATGAAAACTCACAGGAATATGTTTCAGCTATTAGAACAGAATGATAGAGTTTTTATAATACTAGTTTTAAAACGCACTTCAGAGATTGCAGTGTTTGAAGATGTAGTTTCTCAGGAGGCAACAGTACTGTTGACTTCTCCCTCCACTGGACACCAACTATTTATGTGGTTTTGGATACTGATCTGTGTTAGTATGTGCAGATTGTGGTTTTATTGTCTTGGGTGTGAATATGGATTTTTTTCTGTTTTCTGTTCACTGCGAGATGCGCAATAATAACATTATTTCAAGAATAACGGTAAGATATGTTACTTGTGTGATTTATTGATCTGCTTTATTAAATGATTTTGGAATTGATTTTATGCTACTGTATCTGTTTATTATGTATATATCGCAATTCTCAATTGAGATAGTAATGTTTTGAAATTTGATGAACAGTATTGTTCATGTCTACCATAAGTAGTATATATATTTGAAATCCAACTAAGGCATCTTATTAGATTAGTCATTGAATTACATTGAATAAATGTTTTCATTGATTGTAAATATTTTATTAGTGTTTTTGAATAATCGTGTGACTTGAATGCATGTTCTCAGATTATGTTTCAATCGTGGGAAATGTTCCAAACGTTTAAATTTCAATATTGGCTGGCTTGTCGTTTGATTTTTTGTTTGAATTGTAGTTGGCATCAAGAATTTGTTGCAAGTCGCCCATATTCATAACATCCCACGTCACTTCAAGAAAACATTATTATATTAATTTTGGGGACAATTGACAATTATAAAATAATGCTAATAATAAATACACCATATTTACATTTTGAGCCGTGGCTCTCCAAATGCTAATGAATAAGCGTCATCTGCAAAAAAAATAAAAATAAACAGGTTTTATAGTAAACTCTCTTCTTAAAAATACATAATTTGTTATACCTAATTTCAATATGTACGCCTATTTGTTTGTGCACTCTTGAAACGTTGCCTGTAAATTGAATTATTACAAATTTGATAATTTAGCATCTCTCAAAATGTCAAAATTTAGCACAACGGAAAATGGTATTTCTAATGACACATCGTGGCCATCCAGAAAAATTAAGTTAATGTAGAAGACTACATTGAACACTTTTTGGAATGTATGTTGTAATTGTTTAGAAATGCACATTAATTTAAAATCATTCCTAGAAATTCAACTGAAGACCATATTAATGTTTATAGTGGAACGACCTCTTTCAACTTCAGTATATTTGGTTTATTGCAGATGAAAATGAATGTCTTCTTTCTAGTCAAAATGATTGCAATCCGTCAAATAACATATGTGAAAACGCAGATGGTAGTTATGTCTGTCTATGTAAACTTGGGTACACTGGAGATGGAAATAATTGCACTGGTAAGTATTGTTATTAATTTTGACTGGTGAAAATATATGTCACTATAATGGCCATGGTTTCTACAAAAGTGTAAACAAGCTATTTCCACAATATTCACAATATTTCCTGATGTTGATGTCATGTTTTATTGTTGCAGTGATGTGGCATTTTCAGATAAATAATACAACTGAAATACATTCTCATTGTAAATATATTTATACAGATATTAATGAATGCACAGTAGACAATGGAGGATGTGAACACACATGTGTAAATACAGAGGGGAACTATTATTGTACATGTAATGATGGATATGAAATAGATGTCGGTGGTTTCAACTGCAAAGGTAATATAACATTTTGACCTAATTATCTATGCACATATATAATACACTGAAAATATTAATTTGTCTCAAATATATAGTTTTCCCGCTATTTTAAAAATCAAATTATATGTTTCCCATATTATTTATATATGTTATATTATTCTATAAAATACACCGAGGTTAATAATTACATGTATTAATTGAAGATTGTGGCTTGTATTAATCTACTTTGATATGTTCACAGCGGCATTATTAAACAGCCTAGTGGGAGCGAATCCTCTCGTTAACAACGTTTACTTCCCTGTCTACATAAACTCACGGCCAGGATTGAAAAATCCATGTCAACAGACAGATTTCACTAAAACATGATAAACAAACAAATATACACACTTACAAACAGACAATAACAATGTAAAGTTTATTAAACTCTGAAAAAGTACGGTAATTTCCTTTTTAGAGGACGTGATGGCCGTAAAAAATTGCATTTGGTTTATCTTCGCAAAATGATACAAATAAATCATTCAACAATACAGTGTCAAAAAGGGTGCTTTATGTTTCAGAATTTAGGTGACCACTAATATGAAATACAACAGGTTCTGCTGACTGTCATTTTGTTCCTCTCAGATATCGATGAGTGTATTCTTGAAACACACACCTGTCCACAGAACTGCACCAATACAGAAACCACCAATGACAATACTGTTGGATATGTATGTTCATGTGTCGATGGATTCATGGATCAGGGAACAACAGGTCGCGATTGTATTCGTAAGTGTGTTATATATTCTGGAAGAAGTGTATAATTATGGACATTATCAATGTTTGTTCCTAAATTGGTACATGGTTTATATTCAACATAACATGCATACATATTGTATCAACTTTCTTGGGACTCGGTAATTTGATTATATAGTGTCGATGGGTTTATTAGACACAGCAATGTCATACTATTAATCATTGAATTCGTTACAGCTGAGGAGAGTTGTGCAAATAACAGCTGTGTAAATGGAATATGTTATGTGCTTGACGGAGTTCAACAATGTCAATGTGAGCAAGGATATGAGTTGGATGCAGCAGACCAGAATACATGTTTACGTAAGTTCACATTTGATTTCATTAAACCAGAAATGTGTATATTTCCCGGTGTTATTTATTTTGTAATTATTTGTTATTTACCAGAACATCTATTACGATGTCGTCAAACATACATATTATTCGAATTGTCCTACTTCAACTGTCTTTTGTTCTTGTTACAGAAATTGATGAATGTGATCGTGGTACAGATATGTGTTATCATAACTGCCACGACGAGACACCTGGATATCGTTGTTCGTGTCGTGAAGGATATACATTAGATGTTGACGACAGATCATGCTCAGGTGAATTATTAAACATATTAAGCGACTTATTAAATCATTGCTTTTTTGGTGAATGGCTATCCTAAAAATTCAATAAGTTTACAAGATGATCCCAATAGTGTAATATGTGTTTTGACTGACTGAAAGTACTGAATATTGCCTAGGAGGTTTCTCAGCACTGACATTCGTTTCAGGTCACAACATTATCTAAGTGATTACACTTTATATATATTTGTTAGCTGGCTCTTTTGTACTATGTGTTTATTCATTTTGTGATATAAAATAGTATGATTGAAATGGATTTATTCACTTATCAATCGTCAGTCATTTTGAATAAGTAATGACCTAATATCATAGCAAATGAGCTGAAAATAGCCACGTTCACCATACCTACTCTGACTGCAGCTGTTGACTATGTAATAATGTTTCGTTTGAGAACTATTTTCAGTTGGTGTGTGTTTTTGCATTTGAGACGTATTTAATACAAGTTAAATCGTCAGAAAATAGATACTTAACTATGATGAGTAAAGGAACTTATGTTCTAGTTCACAGAATATTTAAATGCATATTGTGATACAATCAATATTTTATATACAATAGATATTGACGAGTGTATTGGTAGAATGCACAACTGTACAGCACTAGAAGAGTGTATTAATACTGATGGAGGTTTCAAATGTGTTTGTATTCCTGGCTATGGTTCTGACAGTGGAATATGTGAAGGTAAACTGAATAACCGAATAAGCTTGATGCATTATTATAAACTCCCAAAAATATCTCTTGGTATACGAGATACATATCAACATCGAATGGTATACTATTTTATTGGGTTTGCTGTGGTGACATTTCCTGATGGCTACACAAAACTATTTGTATTTCCCAGATGTTGATGAATGTCAGAGTAACACTTCCATGTGTCACGTGAATGCCACGTGTACAAATACCATTGGTCAGTATGAATGTGATTGTAACGATGGATTTAGTGGTAATGGTGTGATATGTGCAGGTAAGATTTCACTGATATTACTTAACCGTATCCGTAGTTAGTGGTTGATATGCGCTAGCTAAAGTGTGTTTGTAATAAATAAGTGATATGAAGTGATACTCCTTTTATTGCCGTGCACTGATAGTTAAGTATGTCATTTCCACTTTTCTGTCGTTATTATTATGAGCTATTTCATTTTACCATGCGAATAATTGTAGTTATCCGGACATAAATCATAATACAAAAGCAATAAATACGTTGCCATCGCGTGATATTTGGAGTTCGTATCGCCACATTTAGAGTGAAATATCAGTTATGACATTACAAAATAAGCGTCACTGCATAAATAATATGCACATTAGTCATGTCATGAAAGATTTGTTGTTATATTTTTAAGTAAATTACAATTATATACATTTTAAACCAGGTAGTGCACATAAAGATTCCGTGAATAACACGCTTTTAGAATGTATTGTTCAATTGCTATTTATTCAAATCACATATTCTTTTGGTTAATTTTGTAGACATTAACGAATGCATTGATGACCCATGTCCAGCTCATTCAGAATGTAGCAACACTGTTGGCAACTATACGTGTACTTGTGATACCGGTTTTGAATTAGACGGTAATGACTGCAATGGTATGTGTCACGTTTTGTTAATTAGTCCCCGTTCGGACGCAGTCCGAAAACGGGGACTTATGTTTTGACCTCCGTGTATCCGTGCGTGTGTGCGTGCGTGCGTGTGTGCGTGCGTCTGTGCGTGCGTCCGGAACTGTATCTTAGAAATGCCTGGACCAATCACAATCAAACTTCACACATACATCATACATGATATTATACATATGCACATCAATTTGTTTCACGATCTGATTCAAGATGGCCGAATGGCGGCCATTTTTGTGCTAAAAATCATCAAAATCATGCATTTCTCGGCTGTCTACGGATGGATTTTGTTCAAACTTAGTATATACATTAGACGTTATGGGACTTTGATGCAAATAATTTTGTTTTTCGGATAAGATTCAAAATAGCCGACTGGCGGCCATTTTGTTTTAATGAATGTGGCTCTTGTGCCATATATCTGACTTGCATTCACTGATTATATTCAAATTTTAAATACTCATTATACATCATGTCATAGATAGACAGATAT